ATTTAGAGTCCACAAAGTCCAATTTAGTAGGAGCAGGTCTAAGCTTATCGGAATTAAACCTACACCATTGGGGATCTGACTTTGTTAACTCTGAATCCCCCTTTTGCCCACCCAAACTACTACCAGATGCCACAATTTGAAGATTACTAAGATTTTCCAATACCGAATTAGCAAAAATTGACAGAGATTCGGTTACAGGAACCTTACCATTCATCGGACTCCAAGGTTCAACTACGGCTTCCGACTTATTGCCTGAAGATTCCCCACTTTCGATCTCACGAGCCCTTACTACCTTTGCCGGAAGCTTCAATGCAACTCACATTCCTTTTTCTTGCATTGCTATGGCACACACTCAATGAGTATCGGCTTACAAGAGGAAAGCTCGCGACAATTTCAGAAATCTCACACACTAAAAGTGATTTCGCCCACAGTGAAGGCGCGTGTAAAGTTTAATTTAGAGACTGGCTTTGTTTGTTGTCTAATTTGAAGAATATTGGCATAGATGTTGTAATGGTGGCGATGTTAGTAGTATGGTGAGTCATTTTCTACCTTTATGCTTCTGCTGGTAAAAGAAAAGAGACCAATAATTTGGAGGGGGGGTCCATTACTGGCCAAGTCGAAGAAGTAAGCTAGCTGCTCACTATTGACTAAAGAAAGATTTCCCATTCTCTAAATTTTTCTCTGACATCCAAGTTCACTGATGAAGCCTTTCTAGAACATTTAAAAAAGAAGTCAATGAATTCTTGTTTCTTTTCAGGATGTTTGATCGCAATGAAATAATTAGGGACTGGGAAAAGAAGGTGAATGGGGAAAATTGCTCCCCAGAGGACTGGCCGGACAAAGCGGTGGCGACAAAATGTGCCTGACTTGTGAAAAAAAATTGACCATGGTCTTTTTCAGGTCAAGCGGAAGAGACAAATGCACCACCTCCTCCTTCATTGAAGTTATCTTTAGTGTTGATGGATTTTAGACCATGTTATTACCGAAAAATACTAGTCGAAAAGGTTAGGTATGGTAATTTTTTATACGAAACATCCAAGATAAACAGTGATATAGTGCAGTTTCGATCAAAACTTATTTTTTAGATACAATAATAATAATGATAATTAGTGTTGGGACAAAGAATTCCGCATCGGTGCCGTGAAGGATCTGTCACCTGTTTATAAGTGCCCAAGGCCATCCCACTCATTGCCAATTGGTTTTGAGATGGGAGCCCAATGTGACTTTGAAATAGTGTCAGAGTGGGTAAGACCCAGTATTATAATAGGTGCGGACTAATCTAAGTCCATGCCTACTGGGCCAAAGGTGACCAAACCCATAAAAATATCGGGTGATCTAGTCCATATCCGTTGGGCCTGAGGGGGAGTGATGAAACTCTTGTCACACATCGGTGTTGGGAGTAACTTTGTATTAACATATAAGCTCCATGGGCTACTCCCCTCATTGCCAATTGGTTTTGAGGTGGAACCTCATGGGCTTCTATATGGTATTAGAGCCCACGATCTGTGGACCTGTGATAACTATGGACCCGTGTGTGCGGGCTTGTGGACTGATCCAACAGTATATCCGGAGTATGCACTCGTGTGTACGGGCTTGTGGACTGACCCAGCAGTATATCTGGTGAATTATGTTGTGTTATGCAACCCAAATGGGCCAAATACCCCATTGAGCTTGAGGGAGGAAGTTGGGACAAAGAATCCCACATCGGTTTCGTGAAAGATCTGTCGTCTGTTTATAAGTGCCCAAGGCTATCCCACTCATTGGTATTTGGTTTTGAGATGGAAGCCCAAGGTGATTTTGACAATTGGTGTTGTCTAGAATGATGGAACCTTGGATAGGTAGGTGTGATCGTGCCTCTTCATTCTTTTTATTTAGTAGTGCTATTCAAAACGTTTGGTAGAAAATACATATTTTGTTCACTTTCGCACATTCTTTTAAAACCTTTTTATTATTATTAGTTATTTTTTATGCATCTCATACCCTCTTTGTAAAATTCCATTTCCTTCTGTTGGGACAAAAAAAGTCACATTGCCCGTTTAAATGATATGAGACATGTATATAAGTATATTGGGTCACCTCACTCATTGCCAATTGGTTTTGAGATGGAAGTCCAAGTCAGTTTGACATGGTATCAGAGCCAATGAAATATGGGTTTGCCCAGCAGTATATTTAGGGAGTCTATAAATAGACTGACCGACATTATATCTAAAGAAAATGGGTTGACCCAAAAGTATATCTAGAGAATTTTGTGAATACACTGACTCGTCAATTTATCTTGACAAAGAAGATTGGCCCAGTAACATATTTGGTGAAGGGTGTGAATTATTGCTAGTTTATTGGGATTTTGAGCAGGGCATTAGACTTGAGAAAGAATCCAACATCACTCGTTTGAAAGATCTGATACTAATGTAACATAAGTTCGTTAGGGGCTACCCACTCATTATCAATTGGTTGCTCGATGATAGTCTAAGTGGCTTTGCACCATCAATATAAGTACAATTAATTTAATATACTCATTAAAGAAAGAAATTGAACTACAATTTACCCCTCTATTAAAATTTCAAATAGGCGCTAAAATGTGAAAGATGAGCAAGAGATAATAACTACAAGGTGTCACGAGAAAAACCATATGGCATTAGCACTTTAGACCACTAACAATGAATGTTAGGTTAGCCTTTCCTTTAAAACTCTCAAAAACCTTGAAAAGAAACTATAGAAAAGTTGAAGGCTTAAGGAAAGAAAATAATAAAGAAAAGAGGACTGAAAGAAAGGCTGAGAGAACTTGAAGGCTAGAATTCACTCTTAGGATTCTTCATGATTTAAAATAGGGACTTGGAGTATTTATACAGTTACTAAATAAGTTTCTTAAGGTTCTAAATAATTCCAAATCTACACTATTCTAGAAAAAGCATCACATTGTATCTTCAAATTTTCGTCTAGCTCTAAACTATTCTAGAGTTTCTGTACATGTTTACTTAATCAACACTATTCTACATAAGTTCTACAAGAAACTAGAAAGTTCCAAGGCGTTCCAAAATCTTTTGGAAATTGACTTGTACCAAAATATCTAAGTGGGCCTAGATCCATCAAAATTAGGTTAATGACTTACTTTGATTAAACAATATTTGATCTCTTCGATTCTTTTTCCCCTTAAATTATAAGTGGAAAAACATATATATTTTTTTGGTGGACAAAATATTTTATTGGATTTCTAATTCTAATAGTTTAATAAGATTACATAATCAGATTTCCGAAATCTGATTTCATAAAAAATATTAAAATAGTGAGTTATCCATTTTCTTTAAATTTTGGGAAATGGTCAATATATGAAAAATATCAATCGGGTGTTATTTGTCGCAGTTCAGAAATTACTCACTTACAGTTCGTTTTGGACAATTTTGTCGCTGAACTCTTTTTTCTTCTCTAACATACACTAATTACAAATAAATTTAACTAAATTAATTGAACAATAACACAAAACATAAAACTAAAGTAATTATACAAAAAAATAATGATAACAAAAAAATAATATTAAAATAACACAAAAAATTGGGGGGAAAAAAGAAAAGGTAAGGGTGACCGGCCGTCGAGCCGGCCACCTTTCGAAAGTTAGCCGGTTTACCCACCGACCAACCGGAAAGAAGTGGCCGACCCATCGAGCAGCCACTTCTTCTTGGTTGGCCAGTGAGTAAACCGGCCACCCTGGGCAAAAAATTATTTTTTTGTGTAACTGTTATTACTTTTTATATTTACTTTAAGTTTTATTTTTTGTGTTATATTTACTGGTTTAATAATATTTTTAATTTAATTGAATTTATTAGGTATAATTAATTTATTTTAATAATTAGTGTAGATTAGATGGAAAAATTAGGTACAATAAGTTTTTTATTATTATTATAATTTAGTTTTTATATTCAAATGAAGAATGCACTATATATTATATTAAAATTATATGATAAATACATTTTGAGTAGGTTTTTGTAATTAGGTGTGTGGTATTTAGTTAGTATTAATTTGTAGGCTTGAATAATTATTGTTTACGTAAATGAATTAGTTATTTTTGTTATATTTTGAGTAAATTAATTACAACTAAATAACACAATGTATACTAATTAAATTAATTATAAATAAATTTAACTAAATTAATTGAACAATAACACAAAATATAAAATTAAAGTAATTATACAAAAAAAATAATGATAATAAAAAAATAAGGTAAAAAAAACACAAAAAGTTGAAAAAAAAAAGGTATTGTCCAGAGTGGCCGGCTTTGAAGGTTGGCCGGTTTACTTACCGGCCAACCGCGAAGAAGTGGCGGCTAACCTTCAAAGGATTGGGCAAAATTTTTTTTTTTCAATTTTTTTAAATTTTTTTTGTGTAATTGTCATTATTTTTTTATATTTACTTTAGTTTTATTTTTTGTGTTATATTTACTGATTTAATAATATTTTTAATTTGATTGAATTTATTAGGTATAATTAATTTAATTTAATAATTAGTATAGATTAAATGCAGAAATTAGGTATAATAAGTTTTTCATTATTATTATAATTTATTTATTATATTTAAATAAAGAATGCACTAGATATTATATTAAAATTATATAATAAATATATTTTGAGTAGGTTTTGTAAGTAGGTAAAAGTTCAAGAGTAAAATTGTCCAAAACGGTGAGTAATTTGTGAACTGCGAAAAGCAATTATATGAATTGCATTTGAAAAATTCGACGGTTTGTGAAAAATTTTAAAATATGGAAAAACTCAACAAATTTTTTCAGTGGGAAGATTTCTCTTCTTGTTATTATGTGTTTTTTACTTTTCTCCTTAGCTTCTGGTTTGTGTGCTCCATTGAAATAGCTTAGATGAGTTGTTGAATCATTAACTCTTATGGAAAACGTGAGTAATTTCTGGGTCTTTGTTTGTTCAAAAAACAGCAGGGTACTGATGTGCCTGTTTCTTGATGTTTTTTCAGTGACATCTTGCCACTCTGTGAAGTGTGCCATGAAGTCTTATAGATTATCAGAGCTTACACCTTCGGAGCTTGATAAATTAAAAGCCCGCCCTCGGATAAATTTTTCTTCAATATTTAGCATTGTAAGCCTTGAATCTGATTCCTTTTTTTGTTATATCATGTTTTTGATGTTCTCTATTGTTCTATTAGGGTGCTTTATCTCTTTAGAATTTCAATGGATTTATTGAGGCTTTTATTTGTTTGGACATTGATTCTTCCTCAGGTCCAACCCATTGTCGATGATGTACGTGCCAGAGGGGATGTAGCTGTTAAAGAGTCAGTGCTTCTTTCTCATTTGTGTTTCTATGCATTTTATTTCTAGTGTTCTTCATTTTCCTCTGAAGGATAGTGAGGAGAGTTTGGGATTTGTGGAGTGAAAATAGGTTTTCTGTTTAGTCTTTTTCATACTCTGTGGATTGACCTGCGAATTAGTTCCTTTGGTGGCTTAAATATATTGTGGGTGTAAAGTATAACTGAAGAAGCTTTGCCATATTGCCAATGTATGGTGAAAGTAATAATTTCAGAGTGGTGAATCCTGGCATTGATAGTTGAGAAGACGAACTTGTGGTGACCTTGACTTGAATTATGATGGTTTCATGGGCCCTAGCTAGCAAATGAAAACATTATAATTAAATACAATTTATTTATTTTATTTTGTTCAGTTAAACGTATGGTATCTGTCTCTACATTTTTTGTCAAATCCCCGAAGCACAACCTAGATTAAAAAGTTGGTCCTTGCTTGCCCCTGCATGATTCTAGCTGTACTTAATAGTTTGGAGGGTGATGGTATTTGTTCTTCTGACGGGGCAGCTTACTCTGGATTTTTAATTTTATTCTTTCTCAGGTACACTCATCGTTTTGACAAAGTTGAGGTTAACAAGATAGTTGAGAATATCAATGATCTTCCAGATCCGGAGGTACTTGATTTCTGCATGTTTTTTTTGAAAAGGGATTTCTGCATGTTAAGAATTGTTGTACGATTGAACAGTTGTTGTTTATACACTTTTGACATTCTCACATGAACATGTAAAGTTTGAGATCTTATTAGTGGCTCTTTGGTTGTGATTATAATTTTAAATTTTTAATATAGTATTTGCAGTGTGCAGCTTGCTAAAAAGATTTTGAGAAATGTTGTGTGCATATACTTCATTAACCATTCATGTAATCAATGAATAACAAGAGTTCTTTTGCTTCTTTCTACTAAATTTTCATTTTCTCTTAACTTCAGCTTGATGAGGTTGTCCGAGAAGCTTTTGATGTGGCATATAATAACATATATGCTTTCCATGCCGCTCAAAAGCCAACTGAAAAATTTGTGGAGAGCATGGATGTAAGTTGTGTGCATTATTAAGTAATTTGTTTATTTGTAGACTCCATTTAAAATATATCCCTTGAACTTCTAATTGAACTGTAATTGATTTTGAAACTTCATGTTATTTCCATTAGGGTGTGAGGTGTAAGCGGGTTGCACGGAGCATTTCTTCTGTAGGGCTTTATGTTCCTGGAGGAACTGCTGTTTTACCTTCAACTGCTTTGATGCTTTCAGTAGTATGTTTTTGAGTTTATTGTTCTGTAATTTCAGTTCATTACGGCAATTTGCTTGTGTTTACTCTTGATTGATGTCTCGCTAATTGCAATGATCTTTTTTTTTTTTTTTTTCCTTACCAGCCGGCTCAAATTGCTGGGTGCAAAACTATAGTACTCGCCACTCCTCCTGGTCAGGATGGTAGCATTTGTAAGGTATGTATGCCATTACTTTTGAGATCTTCATTAAAGTTCAGTCTCAGGATTGATGGAAGCCTTTGCAGGAAGTTCTATATTGTGCAAAAAAAGCTGGTGTAACTCACATTCTTAAGGCTGGTGGTGCTCAGGTATGAGACCTCTGACTTTTCCATTTTATTTCATGCATATAGATCCTCCTTTTCCAATATCATTTGCCATATAGACAGAGGGTGTTTCTTATTTCTTGTTATACTTTGCAGGCAGTTTCTGCAATGGCCTGGGGTACAGAATCTTGTCCCAAGGTATCAATTTCAACGTGATGTGTTCAACCACTTCAAAAATTTTGATACATTTATGTATTACATGGACATTCCTACAGATTTTCTTTTGTTACTTGTGCATATTAAGTTTTCTTTTTGCATTTGTTCAGTTCTAGGTTAATCAGTTATGATTGGTGTCAGACTTGAGATCAGTAGTTTTTCTTAGTAGGTTAGTCAGTTATGATTTGGTGTCAGACTTGAGATCAGTAGTTTTTCTTACTAGCCATTTGGGTTCAATGCTGTGTGACTTAAGTTTAATTTTTTTGTGCTGTATGAACTACACAAGATGGAAGTAAGAAAACACAGTAGCCTGATAGGATGAAATTCTGAATTCGATCCAGAGTTAACGACGTTTGATATACTATGTGAATGCAGTAAATTTTGAGTCTATATATGGAAACAGCTTTGAGTCTATATATTGAAAACCAAATGACAAAAACTCAGGGCATCAATAAAACTAAATGCAATCGCTGATCAATTGGTTATCTAAGTGCTGCATTGATGAATGCATATCAGCGATGCAGATAAACTTAAGCTGATTAGTGGCCTGTTGGAATAGAAGGCTAGAAATAGAAGAGTATTGACTGATACTGTGATTATGGAAAAAATTTCCTGGCCATTGTTTTATGTTAACCTAGAGTCTGTAGTATTAGCCATACTCCTCCAGGTTTTAGTGACGCACTCAGTTTATGAAGTAATATCATATTGAATTTGGTTTTAGAACTCTGATTGATTGTCCTTGACTATTAAAGAGAAACTGAATCTCTGTACTCTGAAGTACTGTGGAAAATTACAAGGTTACTTGCTTCTTGTTTCTTGTAATGCTGCTGAGCACCTCATTGTTCTTTCTGCAATGTTTGGCATAAAAGGAGCCAAACAATTTATAAAAGTGTACGTTTACCAGAAGGATCTTGTGTTGGCCTTAAGAAATATGAGTCTGTTTAAATGGTATTTTGGGTGCATTTTTCAAATTCTCTAATCTATTTAGATCTTCTGGACGCTTTGTGTGACGATTGAATTCGAAATCCTTAATGACGTCCCTGGGATTCCAGCAATGGGAGGATTTAAAAACCGCGACTAAGTTGTCATTCCTACCCACCTGTGAATCAAGTGGTAACCTTGGGGGTGGGGGTACTTTCTGGAAATATGTTCTATGAATGTCGGAAAAATCTCTTAAGAGTTTGTTCTACTTCCAACTGTAAAATTGGAAAACAATGAAGCAAAAGCTTATTCTAAAGCACATGCCAAAATGCAACACACAAGCACTGTATAGGGGTCATGTTTCCTTCTCTCTGAAAATGTACTTTACTCTGCATTTCAACTGCTTAGGATTTTCCCGACTCACTAGCAAAGGTCTTGAATTCTTTGGGGCTGGATTTCACAGTATGATATTAATCCCATTCCTGTCAACACAAAGTAGAATTTCAGTCTGCTCAAGTTTTATCCTAAAGAAGTAGCATTTCATTTGCTTCTGCTCTCTTTGTCTCTTTGTACTAGTAAGAAGATTACCCAAGGCATCCCAAGATAATTTTGTTGCAGTATGCCTAATTCTCTGCTAATTGAATTCCCCTAGATATTTATGAGATATTGAACGTAAGACCTCAGAATGGTATAAACAATTTTCTGGCCTTCTTGTGGATGTAATATTGCAATTTGGGTATTATAATCGGTCTTAAGTTTCAATGGTCATAGATGCTCTCTATAAACTGATCATTGAGTTGTTTTATAATCACTCCAGATTTTTGGTTCCGGTTTTTCTTAAAAAAAAATTTTGATGAATTGTTAGATTGATTTTGCACTGTTTGATTGAAAATTTTGATCTTGCATGTTTGGTAAATATCCAAGTATTATTGGGGTCGGAAATCCGGAAGTCTGGACAACTTAGAAAGCATATGTTCATTGGTTCAGAGTTCCAGGATCACAATCTGCTAACCATTAAGTTAATCACTTACTTTAATCATCAAAACAAAACCTTTGGTCGAACACTTCCATTCTATGACATTTTTGTGGGCTTTGGATAAAATAGTATGAAAAAGCGTTCTATACTTGAAATTGTTTCTCCAAATAATTTCCAATTTCAAGATACCATATGATGAGGACTTCAATTGAAGTTAAATTTTCGTGCCGTTGTAACATCAAATTTCTCCCTGCAAAAACATACCTTAAGGAGATACATACTAATGGATATGATTAAAGTAGCATTACTAACATAGTCTTGTTTCTAAAATTAAAGTAGCATTGCAGTGGGAGTATTTGAAGAATCTGGTCCTTTTAGTGAATAGTGTTTAGAAAAAATTTCCAGTACTCAAAAAATAAAAAAGAAAATCAATAAGATGTGAGAGGAGAAAAATAACAAAGTTTGAAACTACTTGATTTTGAACATGTACAGTAGCTCAATAATTTGACTATTAATTGTAATTCCAATTTCATTCTCATTAGCTTCAATTGCTGCAAAGGAAAGGCATTTATCAGCTTGGGCTGAAATACTGCAACAGTGTGTCAAACCGACCGTCTTTACTTTTGTCTTCTGATTCCTATTTTATGCTGCAGTTGAATGTTTAGGCTTCTGCTTTCACCCTTCCCCACCCCCCACCCCCCACCCCCCCCCCCCTCTTTTTAAAAAAAAAAACAAGAAGGAAAAATAGCTGATGCCTGACTTGAAATCTGTGTTCATTTGCAGGTTGAGAAGATATTGGGCCCTGGGAATCAGTATGTTACGGCTGCAAAAATGATTCTACAAGTATTCATTTTTTTTCCTCTCTCTAGCAGATCTCTTATTTTCAAGATTTATGCTGCTATTAGCCTCATACCATTTTCTATTTCATGTATATTTGGTACAGAATAGTGAAGCTATGGTATCAATTGACATGCCTGCGGGACCATCTGAAGTGCTTGTCATAGCAGACCAACATGCAAGCCCTGTCCACATAGCTGCTGATTTACTTTCCCAGGTTTTGAGTCTTTGACCACTTAAAAAGAATTTTATTCTTAATTTTTGAAATGGTTGCATGTGAACAATTCTTTAAGCACCAGAGGATATCTAATTTGATTTAGTAAGGGGTGGAAGCTGGTTTGCTTCAAATTTTATAGTAACGAAATTATGTGTTGCATAGTGGCAAACCATGTTTTGTCAAGAGAATACCATAGACTTGAAATTGATGTTCATGGTCTCTTTATTTGTACTCATGTAATGCTTTGTAATATTGAGATCAATTACTTCACTTACTGCAGGCAGAGCATGGCCCCGATAGTCAGGTTGTCTTGGTTATTGCTGGAGATGGGGTGAACACAAATGTCATTATCGAAGAAATCAACAAACAGTGCCAAAGCCTTCCAAGAGGGGAATTTGCTTCGGAAGCGCTCAGCCACAGCTTTATAGTGCTGGCCAATGACATGGTTGAGGTTGGTTTTCTAGCTTGTTCACTTTGGGTTAGGAATCTTCATCTATCTAAAGAATGGGTTAATGTTAGGTTTCAGATGCTTGAAAATAGTTACTTGATGATTCTCTTTTTGTTGATCTCAAGTTGGCAAGTCCTTTATAAGTTTTTTAAACTGAATTTTTTTAAGATATAAAACTTGCCCACATTAATGTGTCACCAACAGTGTCACTCCAATAGTTTTCCTCCTTAATGTGCCATCAACCTTGTTGATTACACAATGACCATGAACTAAGTCAAAACATGTGTTTTTCATCTTCATGTTTCTAGTTTATGACTGTCTACTGTGTTTACAATCATTCAATAATCATGTTGATTCATTCTAAGGAAGGAGTTCTCTTCTTTTGTTTTCATTTTGAAGGCTATCAATTTCTCAAATATGTATGCACCAGAACATTTGATTGTCAATGTCAAAGATGCTGACAAATGGGAGCGTTTCATTCAGAATGCAGGTAGTATTAGCATTTCTGATTTCACTCCCTTGCCAGTGCACTTTTTACGCTATTTTGGATAGTTTGCTTCCATCTGGTTCAATCAATGGAACATAGTATTTGGATAAAAGGTTATGTGGAAAAAAATATAGCAATTTGGATGCTTGTTTAACCCCCTTGTTTTCATCCCTAGACCCTTTTGATACAAAAAGGATTTGCACTTCTATTTACAGTGCATATGGGTCTGCTTAACATTTTGTTTTCTCCTGGAAGTAACAGCTATTTGAGAAAGGTTTGTTACAATTTCAGTGTTAGTTTAACAGTAGAATGGTTAGTGGACGAATATTTTAGTTCCTCACACTTAAAATGAATGCTTTTCCTAATCTGTAGAATTTGGCTATTTTTTATCATCCATTAATGCATCTTTCTGTCAAAATGATTCATGTTCTTCTGATTGAGTGTCCAAATGGATGCGGGCAACTTTTGAAATTCATTGTCACACAGTTGGCGTGGAATTAGTGTATCAAAATCTCAAAGAACTTTCTGCTGATTGCATAAGACAACTGATATCCCCTCAAACTAATGTGAGAATCAAATTGAGCAAATACTATGAAAATATCGATGCCCTAGTTGGATTATTCTGCTAAATGAGAGCTTTGGACAGTCAAATCTTAGCTGCACTGTCCTTTCTGGATATCGAGCTGTACATAATCTATTTCGATCAATAATTAATATGATTGAGGGAATTTGATATATTACAAAGGTGGAGAATTCATGCACGTACATTTGAAGGGCTAAATTTTTCGTTGGCAGTAGTGTGTATATGAGTTTAGTGTATACGTACATCATATGAGGATGTCCCTAATGCCTGTGCTTACAGATTTTTTTTTATTATTTTTTTTCCCTCTTCTTCAAAGTATTTGGAAAATACTGTTGTGCCTTAAGCCTCTTATTGTTCCCATATATTCATATTTGGTTTTACAGGATCTGTATTCTTAGGGCAGTGGACACCTGAGAGTGTTGGAGATTATGCTAGTGGGACTAATCATGTACTTCCAACTTATGGTTATGCAAGAATGTATGGTGGAGTCTCTTTAGATTCCTTCCTCAAGTACATTACTGTGCAGAGTTTAACAGAAGTGGGCCTGAAAAACCTTGGTCCTTACGTAGCAGTAATGGCTGATGTTGAGGGGCTAGATGCTCACAAAAGAGCAGTAACCCTCAGACTCTCAGACATTGAAGCCCGACGAAAATCTTAATCGGGATGATAAAACCCGGTATAAAACCGCTTTTCTTCGCTTCAATCCAGAGCCATTTTCTGAAGATACATGTGTCATGAGTATTGGTCTCTAATCTTTAGAGTTTTTGCCCTAGCTTGTCTCAAATCAGACAGCAAACTTGACCCCTTTTCTTTATCATTTGCTTTTTGTGAATTTTGATCCAGATACAAGATAGCTAGATGTTTTATATGTATATGTTTGTGGATATTAAAATACAGATTCATCATTTTTTGTACACTTTAAATTTGTAAGCAAATCTAAGAAGGGGAGTTAATTTGTTAACTGACTAGCAAGACAAATAGTTGTTGGATTGAAAAACTGAAGTTATAATTCAATACAACTTAATCCAACTTCAACTAATTTTCTTAGTTTTGATTAATCTGTTACAAAGGTACCTTATAGCTTTAATTTTGATGAGAAAGGCAGTTTTCAATGAAGAGATTCTTTCATTGATTTACTGAGAACACGTTGATTTGAGGTACAAATTAAGGAATTGTAATGTATTCTTTTTTTAAAAAGAAAAAAAGAAAATCACTTTACATTTTGCATATTGAGTTGAAAAATGGTCAAAAACATTGAATCTACTATTAACTCAACAAGGTTTCCAGCCACTTAGATTCTGAAAACGGCTTTCACGTCAGAGTATGAAATTTGGATCCAACAGATCATCTCCTTCTTAGTTGCAATAATTTCTAGCACAAATAAACTTTGACGATGAGAAATTAAAAGACCCTTTTGAAGTGGGATGCTAAACAACAAATTTTTTCCAACTTTGATGCAACAGAAATAGTAGTATTTATTTCCGAAAATTGGTATGGAAAAAAACAGGATTTTGGGAAAAGAACAGCAGCTATCATCAGCTTTGCTCTCGCTACCATGGCTTTGAATTCGTTATATGCAACGTGTTGGAAATAGAACCATGAGTAACATATACATGTGAATTGTGGATATGACACCATTTTGGCCTTTATAGGGTCCAATAATGTTTTCCAATTCATTCTGAATTTTAAGCATACGACAGTGTGGAATCAAACGTGAGAAAAAAGAAAAGAAGTATTAATATTTGAGTTTCAAACTCATCTACATTATGAATGAGAATTATTTAGTAAGAAATTCAAACATTATACTCAATTTTGGGACAGGATAATTATATAATGACAATTTTTACATCCTTTAACGGATACCACAAAGGCACAAACAAAGATGATAACTTTGAGGTTGGGGAGTATATTGTAAGAATTTTTACACCCCTTCAAAAGGGATCCAAAGTGTGTGCATTGAAAATGTGAAGACAAAAATGTTGCAGCATAGAACAGAACAGCTAAGGAGTAAGGAGCAAATGAATTGACACAAACCAATGAGGACCCCAGGGGGGGTTCACGCTTCAACAATTAATATTGAACTTAATGCAAACAAGAAAATGTCAAAATTGTCAGGCTTTTTTCTTCAGGGCAAATAAGTCCAGGAAAGAGTAAAAAGTAGTGTGTCAGATTCTTTCCTTTTCATTTTAGGAGACATTTTTCTTGTCATAGTCATTTCTCCTTTTACTTCACAAATGTCAATGATGATGATGTAAAAGACAGTGAGATGATGCAAAAATTGATTGATGCACAATCTGAAACTATTATGAACCAATAATTAAAAAGGTGTTCCAGAGTATACAATATGTGGTTAAATATCCTTTATTAAAATTCATAGCGACAATAAACGGTACAAACTTTGAAAAAAAAATTTTAAAAAAAAATACTAGGCGAATTGGTAGTTATGTCTTAAGATTTGAATTACACCAATGAATTCATCTTAATCCGTAAGGAAGCTAATTACCAACGCCCACATTTTCAAGAATGATGTTTTTGTAGTCCTATAAATCATTTTTTATCATTTTAACAATTGAATTTGACGCTGATGAATGATGTTCTCGTCAAGTTTTTTGGTCAATGATGTTCCTAAAGATATGGCCTTAAAATAAAGTTAGAAAGGTTGGCACTAAACTTGCATCATTTTGAAAAGTTAAGACAAATTTTCCAATTTAAAATTTTATTTCTAATTGAAATTGTATTAAAAATGAAAATTTAAAGTGGATAATTATTTAATAGAGAAAGTACGGTGAATCCAAATATTGATTGAAGTTGGAATTTGGATAACATGCACCAAGGCTCAAAATGTGGCTGCAAAGTACCATCTATTTATTCATTGTAAAATTAATAGTGGCTAATAAAATTAAAAGTTCCTAACGAAATGCATATGGGGTATATGAAATCAATAATTTTAAAAATGAACTGAAAGACCAAAAAAAAAACAAAATACATAAGGCTCAATCGTGTTTGATAGCCCATTAAAGGAAATGACATATTTATTTGAGATATCAAATAAACTAAATAAAGCCATTCCAACCGTTCCTTATTTTCTTATTCCCAATAGATTTGTGACTGTTATTTACAAACTAGTGAAAATTCTAATGACTTTTCATAGCACATTTTGCGTCAGTAATTGACGAGTTCATATCCACTAAGGATTACTGGACCGGCCCATCAACCAGCTATGGTCCAACCGACCTGATAAAGGCGGTTCTAGAACATAAAACCTAGTAGGATTCAGCATCCTTCAAGGTAACTTCATGTCTATAAATAGGGTTAATCAGACCACAATACGGGTATGCAATCTCTAGCAAACATTACCACTCACATACATTCTTAAAAATCTTTTTCTGACTTAAGCATCGGAGTGTCTACTCTCGAGAGACCCCCGAGACCTTCTTTTGCAGGAAACCCTAGCCGAAGTTCCGCAATTAAATCGGCGGTAGAAAACCAAGTTTTGTCAAGCGGCACGCCCAGTGGGACCTGAAAATTAGGGTTTTGTGTCACGAAAACTTTTTCAGTTTTCTTAACCTTCTCTGGTGCGACTTAGGGTTTCTGGAATCACGCACACCATGGCCAGGGTTGAAGAGGACGCGAGCAGCATGGCATCTTCCAGTAGATGGTACAGTTCAGCCGATAACACTACCCTGGCAGAATTCCAACGACGACAGGAAAGAAAGAAGACAGGAAAGAGCCATGAAAGAGGACCCGAGAAAGAACTAGGGAAAGAGCGCCTGGTCCTCGAAACTTCACAGCCTAACCCAAAGAAACCGGATTTGCCCGCAACCAAGAAAAAGGATTCGCCCCCTCCTGTCAATACCACAGCATCCAGAAAACATCGGGAGGATCAGAAGTTGGTAGAAATCAAGGCCAAACTCAAAAAGCTACGGGATGATAGTGATCAAAATCAAAGAATGAAAAGATATGTTCTCGAGGAAACAAGGCGTCGTTGTCTCCTGGGACAGCGTGATCCAATTGAACAGGAGTTAGCCGACTTGATTGACGAGAAGGAAGTCTGACGCACTTTAGCTCTTCTCGAGAAGAAACAAGGCAAGCGAAAGGTCCAGGAGGAACGGGACTATCAGGAGTATTCAGATTGCGAAGGCTTCTTGGATAACCAGTCAACCGCCACTCGAGACACCGTTTTCTGGAACACTTTCAGGAAGAAATATCCAGCCTTTGATATGGCCATTGAAGAGTTTGATGCGGTTTACAGACGCAAGGATCCTCGAAACCACTACCGACAAGGATCCCCAAGCGTCAAGGTAATGGAAGAGGGAGAATGGAACCCTCCGAGAAGGACCAATGTTCACAACCGATTGGGCCCAACTGGCATCGAAAGAGCCCTCGAAGGGAGGAATACGTACTTTTCCATAGATAATACCAAAACCACGGCGATACCGAAGAGGATCATGGGCGGGAGCATCAACTTTATCTTCAGTACTCGCCTCCCAGGGGCCAATAACGTAACAACTACAGAGAAATCCCACCTTATCTTCCTCGAGGTCAGCAGAGAGTAAGAGTCTAGGACGCTTCGATCCGAGACGAGATGAGGAAGATCATTGGAATGGTCGTGGACCGAAGTCCCTTTATACCAGACATTCAAGACGAGCCAAAGCCCCAAGACTTCGAATTCCCCAAGGACTTCACCAAATACTCAGGAGATACAGACGTCTCCCAGTGGCTACAGGGGCATGTCCAGGTCATGAGAATCAGGAATGCATCGTTGAATTTTATGGCTAAAGCTCTACCCTCCTACCTAACCGGGGAAGCACAGCGGTAGTTTGGACAATTACCAGAAGGAAGTATAATCAGTTTCGAGGACTTATCAGTCAAATTGGCAACTCGTTTCTTCCAGAGTAAGCAAATCTCCAGAATGTCCATTGACCTTTCATTGACCATTCATTGAACATGAAAGCCTCTCAGACTTCTATCGGTGTTTCATCCGTGAAACCTTACAAGTTGACAACATAGATGAACGGGATGTCTAGAATGGTTTTATTCAAAGGCTCAACCCATTCGGAAAATCCTAAATGCTAAGAGTAAAACTCTCGACTAAACCTCCCAGAAACTCCCAAGAGATGTGGGCTATTGTCGAGAACTATATTTAACGAGAGCACATGCTCAACAGATCACAAGAGTCTTTCACGGCAACAGGGCCAAGAGACAAACCAAGGATCAACACGGAAAGTAGGACCTTGTTGCCTAAACTCGATAGGCAGTTGACACCTTTGACTAAGCTACGCCAGGAGATCCTCAAGATCCACAAAGATGAGTTACCTACCCCAAAACCTCTAGCGCCCAACCCTAACAGGTCGACGGAACAGTATTGTGAATATCACAAAGACCATGGCCATGATACTGAGGATTGTCGAGAACTCAAGAGGGAAATCGAGAACGGAGTTAAGTCTGGCAAATTCCAACAATATGTGCAAGGACCCTCTCAACAAGGAAAACAGCAAGCCTGGTATATCCCGAAACTTTCCTAAATGAAATTTCAGGGGCCCTCGGGGGAATAGCCATGGGAATAACTGGCAACCGAGGAACAATACGCAACCACCTCCTCAACAAACTATCGAGGGAGCCCCACAACCGCTTCAGCACATCCCTCTGGCGGATCCT